TCTTCCCGATGATGTGTGCACGTGTTTGGCGGCGGCGGCGGCGGCGGCGGCGGCGGCGGCGGCGGCGGCGATGGTGGTGGTGGTGGTGCGGCGGCGGCGGCGAAGGTCCCGTGCACACCGATCGTGCGACCGCAAACGTGGTTCTTATTCCCGCAACGCACCGACCCCGAACACCGCATCTCACTCGAAAAACGAGAGGCTTCTGTACTTTCGAAACTAACACTGTCCCGGATATTTCCAAGATTTCATTTTATCAACGAGCATTTAAAATTTTTTATTTAATCAAATCACTCAATGTTGGAAATTAATGCCAGGCAAAGAGAAATTGCGAGGGAGAAGGCGCGAAAAGTTTCATTTTTAATTAACTTTGGAAAAATAAGCGTGAAACATTTATCATATATGTGAAAATTATATATGCTAGAATTTAATGAATGATCATTGAGAACAATAATATCTAACAATTGCAAGTTATGTTAATTTATATCAAATAAAATATTAAAGTTTTCAACTTTACGGCATCCAATTTCCTGACTGTAAGATTAAATACACATTGATTGTACGCTAGTTATACTCGATATAATCCAAGATATACGGTACAAAGATATACTCGGGAGAGACACAGATTTCAAAGTCGTTCGAGTCAAGGCGGAAAAGGCGTCGAGTGCAGGCGGAGCGATGTCCGGTACATACCGCTCGCGCGATCTTCCGGGTAAATCGCGGGTTATTTTTAGCGCGCTGGCAATTAGGTGTAGTTAAGCGAAACCGACCCAATTCACAAATTCGCGCGACGAACGATGCGCGCGCGTTATTATTCGTACGGAACGCGAGGAATGTGACGAATGAAAGAAAAAAAAGACCACATAGAATAAAAAAAATTGCATTACGTCACACAATATAAAAAAGTACAATAAGATATGGAAAAAATGAAAAATTCTCTCCGAATATTTTAAAAGTTCATTACATGTTGTTGTTTATATTTTATAATGAATTTTATATATATAAATATAAATATATATGTGTATATATATATATATTTATAACAGATTATCATTACATAATCTTTTTTTAACGTTATGTACTGTTAACATAAAGAAAACTGTTAACAGAAGAGTCAGAAGACTCGTTTTCGCTTATTTCACTCAACATCAATCAGGGGTGTTCATGGTTTCGGTTGCCTTCATTAGTCAAATCTGCTCCGCCGAGAATCACGAGATGCGGTATAAACAATCATGTAATATGCATGCATCGGATGAAGAGGAAGAGAAGTGACATGAAGAGGAGAGCGGAGGGAATGTGCCCTGTTTCCATATGATGTATATGTATTCTCTCGCGGATTCCGAGTCACGAATGTCGTGCGCGCGATAAGATCGAAGATTCGGATGGACAAGCGGAATTCGTAAGCGAATTTTCGACCAAAAGTTCCGCACCACCTGAAGTTTGTTTACACATAGCGGCCGTTGCTGCTGCTGCCGTCGCTGGAGTTACGTATGCACGACGCTTCTGAAATTCTATTTCAGTTCCACGGGAGACATGCATATTTGGCCTATTATCGCCCTCCGCGGCCCCCGCGATCCGCTCCCCGCCCATCTATCCTACGCCAATCAAGCGACGGCGCCATAACTGCGCTGCCATTCGGCACGTAGGCACATCGTCGGCTCGCTGGCACGAGAGACATCTGCCGATTGCCTAATAAACCGATCGCGTTTTCATGTGAGCGCATTTACCGACTGGGCGATTAATGCATCATAAAAAATTGCATTATAGTATAATAAAATAATCTTATAAAAAAAATGTAACAGTAACATACGAGAATTTTTCATTATTCATTTAAAATCATATCATGTTTATTCATGATATTAATTAAATAATATTAGAAATGTAAAAGATATCATCAATGCATCTATTCAATCCCCGGCCTCCAAAAAATTCCAAAACTCTAATTTTCAAGGCAATTTGTTAAAAATTCCAGATAAAATACAAGTATTTTAAATATATCTTATAAATAAATGTATATTCATTGTGCAATGTCTTTAATATTTTCCATTCATAACAGTTTATAAATCATAAAATAAAATTAAAAATCACTCAAGTTTCAATAATTAAATTTAAAAATAATAACATAAAGTTTTAATAATAAAATTTTCAAATTTTATTTTCAAAAACTACAAACAAAAAATTACATAATATATAATCGATACAAAATTAAACTTTTATAAAATTATTAAAATCCATCTTCATTAAACAAAACTACATCTAACATAAAATCAACATTGTCTTCAATTCTGAATTAATTATAAAATTAGTGTGTTTTGATATTTAGAATGGATTGGTTCACTGTTATTGCTAACAATTCGATCAAACTCTTCTATTAAAGATTTATATTAATAACATAAAGACAAAATATTAGGAAAAGCAAATTCACTGATTTTCAATAAAATTCCTTAAGAATTCCCTGATTTTTTAAGAAATAAACAAATTCCTAAAAATTTCAGATTTTTCAGGTTTTTCCATGGTTTTGCAGGTTTTTCCTGCAATGATAGTTTAATCTAATCAGATGGTAAATATTTTAATAAATTTAAAACAATTAAGAGTTTGTCTTTTAGAAACAGAAGCATCATACTGAAATGGATAAATTCTCATTAATCATTAATATTGCATCGAGTCTGAATCTTTGAAATTTTTTCGATAACCCGAGCGCGAAAGCTCGCGATTTACCGACTTCCGGATATATGAACCTTATCGACGCCCGGAAGGGCAGCTTGCCTCTTATCGGCGAGCGTTGATGCGTCACGTGTGATACAAAATTAAAAAAATAAATAGAAGATGTAGGGAAAGAGAGGGAGAAAGAGAGGATGCATGAGAACGATGAACCCTGCGTGTGTACGTCGTACAAGGGCCGACGCCTCCTTCTCAAGGCGAACAACTCTCGTGAGAGAGATTACGGAATTTTTTTCATCGGCGCCATGTTTGCCGTTCGTCGGTCGGGCCCTTCGCCCTTACAGCTTTCCTAGGATCTAGCGAAACAACCCAACTCGCTCTACGTTCAGAATTATGCACGAGAAATGGAACCGAGAGTTTTATACGCTTGTAATTTGTGTAAATGTCTGTCTGTCCCAACCGCCAGTTTTATATTTTTAAAATGAATGAGCGCGCGGAGCTTCCTCTAACAATCTTAATTTTAATGAACGATATGTATAAATATATATATGATATATATATAAAGTTTTTTATCAACAAAAATATCCAAGAGATATTAATAAAAGTCATCAGAATTGTTATGAAATTATAAGAAAGATAGAAAGACAAGATTCCGTTTATTAATTAATTTTGATCGAATTTTATTAATATTCTGCTTCCAATTTGAAATTTATAATATCTTTAATATCTCATACATTATAGTTTCAATTAAAAAATATCAAATGTGTGTTTATATAACAAAATATTATTATTTCAATTTTCTTTCAATTTTAATTTACTTATATTTATTACTCAATATATTTGTTAATTTCAAATTAATTTACGAGTTTTATTTGATTTTATTTAATATTTTATATCATTAAAATTAATCACGGGGACACCCGAAACGCTGCATGAATGCTGTAGTGAAATCCGATGTGTGTTGATTGAAAAATAAATTATTTACACTCACCATTGGAAGGCATTGAAATGGAAGTAAACGAGACCGAGCCCATACAAGAACGAAGCATCCTTCCAGTAGTCACCTTTTAAAGAGTAGAATTTCTGATATGCCGACATCGCTATAATAAGAAAAAGGAATAAACCCATCAGGGCAAGTTTGTTTCATGTAAATAAAATAAAAATCGTTTCAAATTCAAAATGGAAATTTAAAGGGATAAAAAGTCTGTCAATACATGGAATTCGATTTGAAGTCTTAAAAGGTCTTTCTATCGTAATTTGTTTTCACAGGTTTCTCAGTGGATAAGTCAATCAACAACATCCAATTTGACAATACTGATTATGTCCATTTCTATCAATGTAGATTAACTTTAATATCAATTTAATTTATTTTATTTTTGTCTTTTTATATTTCTAAGAATTAGAAAAAAATAAAAAGTAAATAGACATTAGAAATTTTGTTACTTGGTTTAAAAACAAATATTTTTTTATACAAATACAAATTAGTTTTATTTATTAGAATATTTTCAATCATTTCTAAAATCTAATAATCAATTATAAAGTAGAAAGACTTGAAGGACTTGACTTTGATAAATTGGCTTGACTTCTGAACAGAGGCTACACAAGTTTACAATTTAAAATGTTTTGTTTTAAATGTTTTGGTAAAAGCTCATGTAGAAAAGTGTATACCTTTATCGTAATCTTCTAGGAGCAGATGGAAATGTCCCAGTTTGCAATATGTCTTGGGATCGATGCTTATTCCCTTATCCTCATCCTCATTCTCCTTGGAATCATCTGGGTACATTTTTGTACTATCAGCTTTTCTGCGCTGCTTCTCCGCCTGGGCCTGAACCAGCATACGCTCCAGATACTTGATGGCACGTACCACCAGAGCCTTCTTCTTCGCCTGCTCCGGAGAGTTCAGCTTGAGAAAACCAAACTGTCGACTGTGCAGGCAAACAAGAGAGAAATTGCTTTTTATTATGACGCATTTTAGAATATTTCTTCCGATCATTTCATTCTGACTAACAGAAAGACCGGAATCGAGAAAAATCTTGCGACGTGCTCGTGTTTACGCCCCAATTAAATTGCCATTTAATCTCATCGACACGCGTTAATCCGTACCGGCAATTATAAAACTTCCGTGAGTCGAAACGCGCGCAAATGTTGCCGCGGGAGATTTCGCCGCGTATCTCGCGAAATGTGGTACAGTGGGAAGCGCGCGGAAACGGTGTCAGTAGGTTGCGCACGAGCGCGAATGTCAAACGCGCGTTTCTAGGTTATACGTCATGGCTCGTCGTCGCGACGTCGATCCCTAATCGCGAAGAATAAACGTGAGATCAAGGGGAAAGGAGAAAAGTCAATCACCTGTCCAGCTCCGACAGCGTCTGCAACTCCTGCGGCGTGAGGTTGATGTCGTCGATGTCCTGTGCCATCTTTTAGCGTAATAACTTCGT